AATGACTAGATACATGAATCTCTAGGTCATATTCCATGCAGAGGGGGAAGCAGCTGCAGTCTAGAACAGCTCCTGTTATAATAAACATGTTAATCTTAAAGGTGCAACAGGATTGTTTGTTGCTTTAGCTACCACAGACCAGGATGGTTATCTTTTAGAATCCGAACCGCTCTTCCTCCAGGCACTTTGGCTCTGGCCATGTCCACTGATGGAATGCTGCCCCCAAGAGGAACCATCCCTGATACAAGTAAATCCTGAGAAGGTAAAGAACACAAGGACCTTTCTCCTATCACTTAAGACACCATGTGCCCACTCAGTACAAAAGCAGAGGATTTCTTAGAAGTTCCCTATACCTAGGCCCTCCTTACTTACTGGGTGTGTGGAGAGAGGTGGGACTGCCAATGCCTTCACATAGGAAGCTGTCTACTCCTTAGGATGGGGTGCGGAATTTGTGGCCCTCCAAGTGGCCTTGCCCTGCAGCTCCCATTGGCCCTAGGCAACACATCTAATGATGAAGGATGCTGGCTGCTGCAGTCAAACAATATGGAGAATCACCAGTTGTCTACCTCACTTTGAGATGACATCTCCCAACCTGATGCCTACCAAAGATGTTAGACTACAAGTCCCATTATACCCAGACACCATTTATTGGGGGTGAGGCTGGCCTGAGTAACTTGGCTAGAGACAGACCATCTCCTCGAACTGGAAAAGGTCTAAAGGTAAAGGCAAAGGTTCCCCTTGACAATTTTTTGTCCAGTCGGGTTCGACTCTAGGGGGCGGTGCTCATCCTCGTTTCCAAGCCATAGAGCCAGCGTTTGTCCGAAGACAATCTTCCATGGTCACATGGCCAGTGCAACTTAGACACAGAACGCGGTTCCCACCGAAGCGGTCCCTATTTATCTACTTGCATTTGCATGCTTTCGAACCGCTAGGTTGGCGGGAGCTGGGACAAGCGACAGGAGCTCACTCCGTTGCGTGGATTCGATCTTACGACTGCTTGGTCTTCTGACCCTACAGCACAGGCTTCTGCGGTTTAGCCCGCAGCGCCACCACGTCCCTGGAAAAGGTCTACCTTATAATAAAAAGAACTGCTAGATAAATTAGTGGTTTAGGTATCTAACTGTGGAACCAGAGGTTGGGACTTTGATTCCCCACTGTGCCTCCTGGACAGGGACTAGACATGATGATCCCTAGGTCCCCTTCCAGCTCTGCAGTTCAAATATTTACTTACTTGCTTGCTTATAATGATAGCTATCTTAAAACTTGACATATCTTATTTGTCCTGCCTCTAACAACTTTCAAAACAGTTGTAAGGCCTGTAGCATTTAATAACTCTATGCATTTTGTACCTAATTAAGACTCCAGTCCCAACCCTGTGATGAAATCAAAGGCATCTGCATTTCACAATCAGAGACAAGTTCAGGAGAAACATTATGCAAGTTGGCCCCCAAGAGATGCTGTTATGAAAACTAGGCATTAAACAGGAGTTTCTATTTAAAATGGGTGCCTGATTGATGGACGGATGGATGGAGGGAGGGAGGGAGGGTTTGGATTGGATTGGTACCCCGCACCACCTGGCAACCAGGCAACTCTGGGTGGCTAACAACAGTATGAGCAACAATATAAAAACACAATAAAAATAAATAAATAAATACATAGACAGATAGGGTAAATTAAAACAGATGGCAATAAGGGTGGTAAAAAGGGTGATGGAGAGGATGACAAAAAGGAGGGCAAAAGGGAGGCTGAGATCTTAATGCTTCGGGAAAGCCTGGCGGAAGAGCCAAGGCTTTAATGCTTGTTTGAACCCATCCAGCAAGGGTGCCGGGTGGATCTCAATGGGAAGGTTGTTCCATAGGTGGGGGGGGTGACCATTGAGAAGGTCCGGTTTCTTGTTCTTTCCCTCCTGGCCTCCTTCAGGGTCAAGGCCCTCAACCGCCCTGCCTGTGAAGAACAGGTATTATGGACAGATCTGGCTGGGAGCAGGCATTCTGATAGGTACCAAAGTCCTAAACCATTGAGGTCTTAATCTTGAAGTTGATGCAGAAATGAACCAGTAGCCAATTAAGGGTGGCCAAAGTGGGGGAGATGTGCTGGAATTTCTTCACTCCAGTTATTAATCTAGGCACTGTATTCTGGACCAGCTGAAGTCTCCACATCAGCCTCAAGGGTAGCCCCATGTAAAGAGCACTGCAGGAGTCTATTCCTGAGCTTACGAGGGCATGAATCAGCATTGTGAGTGCCCCCACATCTAGTTAGGGATGCAGCTGGGCAATCCTCCGAAGATGGAAATGGGCTGCCTGGACCACAGATGCCACTTGGGTTCCCATGGTGAGATCCAGGTCCAAGCAGATGAGATCCAGGTCCAAGCTGCGAACCTCACGCTTTGTGGGAAAACTCACTCCCTCAAAGGAGAGGGAGCTTCTCAACCCACTGATGCCTGGGCCACCCACGCGTAAGATTTCTGCCTTGTCCGGATTCAACCTCAGTCCATTTGCCCTCCTCCGCTCCATAATGGTCCCCAAGCAGCATTCAAGGCTCGGAACAGCATCCACTGAGGTTGGAAAAAAGGACAAGTGGAGTTGGGTGTCATCAGCGTGCTGATGACACGGGCCCCCACAACTCCGGATGACCTCACCCAGTGGCCTCATATAGATATTAAATAGCATCGGCAAGACGATCAACCCCTGCGGAACCCCATAATTGAGGATCCATGGAATGGAAGTCATCTTGCCAAGCTGCACTCTCTGGGGACGGTCCTCCAAGAAGGAACGGAGCCACGCCAAAGCAAGGCCACCGATTCCCAACTCAGAGAATATTTGTCCTCCGTAATTGCCCTAAAGAGCTTGTACTTCTATGAAAATGATATTTTCTTAATTAAAGAAATGAAGACCTAAATACCTCACTACTAACGACACATGGAGACTGAGTTGCAATGGAAACCAGCTGCATTTCTACACCTGCTGCCTGGACATGTCCGGACAAAATGGTAAATTAACATCTTCAGTCACAATATAGGAGGCATAAGACAATGTCTTTCCAGATGACAGAGACTTTCACTATAGAGTGGTTACAAGCTCTAACCTGGAAAATGTGTGCAATTTGCTTTTTTTAAAAAAATGCAACTATTAAGCATCTCAAGATTGCATATAATGTGCTGGTTCTCTTGCCTTAATTTTAATTAAATATTTTTAAGTATTTTAATGTTAATTTTAATATTATAATGAATTTAATCCTATTTTTATGTTTATAATTTTTCTGTATTTTACATTTGTACTGTTTTTTGGCTGTTCTGTAAGCTGTCTTGCGTCCTGATTCCAGAAGAAAGGCAGTATATAAATCTCATCAATCAGTCAATCAAATGCCATTAAGAGAAAAGACATTAGTCATCAAACTCTTAGGACACGCATTGTTAGATTATTCAAAGAAGCAACTGTGGTTTTCTTACATGTGTAGCAGACAGCATTTTATCAGCACTGAATAAACCATGAAAAATGCTATGTCTCTAGAAGACAGTCTGAAATGATAAGTAAAGCTGGCTCTGTAGCATGCAATGCAAAATATGTTAAAAACCAGGGAAGAGCATGACAATCTTAGCCATTTTTATTCACTTTTTTCTCTTCACAAGCTAACCTATCCTGACCCAGATACAGTATAGGAAAGTTTGGACATATTTAGATATATATGCAAAATTTTAATTGCTAACTCCTAGGCAGTATACTCTTAGGGAAAGTACACAGCCTGGGAAGGCTACAGCCTTCAGTTGTGTCTTTCTTGAAATTTTGCAACATGCTAGGTGCCCATACTGTACAACCCATTATCTTCACTGTGTTTAGTAATTTGGGCTGCAATCCTAAATGATTATCTTAGAAAATCACATTCTATTGATTTGAATGAGGCATATATCTTTGAATTTTAAGAGTTCATCATCTGAAGCACATTGCTTATCCTCACCTCTTAAGGGTCCTAACAGATATGGTACCGTGTTTCCCCCAAAATAAGGCAGGGTCTTTTATTAATTTTTTCTCCAAAAACACATTAGGGCATATTTTCAGGGGATACTTTATTTTACAATCATGTCATCTTCTGGTTGCTGCACAATGTGGCACAATGCGGGAGGGCAGGGTTTCACTTAACTGGGGCTTATTTTGGGGGTAGGGCTTATATTAGTAGCATCCTGAAAAATCATACTAGTGCTTATTTTCAAGGTAGGTCTTATTTTCAGAGAAACAGGATACTTGGAAACTACAGTAGTTGTAAAAAGGGTGTCCCATAGAAATATAGGAACTGGTACTCAACTAGAGGTCATGTTTTCAGTACAGCATGGAATTCACATGTTACAAATAATGTTGCAAGCAATATATCAGTTTTGGGGGTCAGATGGATAAAAAATTGTTCCTTTTCTAAATACCAATACAATTGGTTTCATTATTTTTCTTATGTAAAAAGGAACGTTTCAGTTATTATTTTGTGCCATTCTTTAAAGGCTAAAAACTGAGCATTTGGAGTGCATTATTTCACATTTTAGGACATTTTCTTTCTCTTTTCTTTCCTTCTTTTAGAGTTTGTCTCTACAAAATGAATGAAAATAACAAAAACACAACAAGTAGCACAACAAATAATATAATGGCTTACTTTTTAAAATCTATAACATGAATAATGACAAGTTACTTCAGGAGGGGTTGCAAACCCATTGCATTGCTTTTAAAAAGTAATTTTCCTGTCTCTAGTTTTCCAGTAAGAGCACTACATAGCTTCACAAAACCCCCATACTTTTCTACATTGTGTGCATTCTCGGGGGGGGGGAGAAATACAGTAAAGATGAGTAGGAGCAAGCCTGAAATAACTAGCTGTCCCCCTCCCCTCCTAAATTCAGCACCTGAGAATTATACTATTGATGTAATCTTTCAGACAGCTAAAGCTTTAAAGTGCAGCTCCTAAACATTAAAAATATGTCTGGATCACAGAGATTATGCTACAAAAGCTGCATGCACCTTTACCTGGGACCAAGCTCTGTTGAACACAGTGAGATTTGTGCCGCATATTTGCCCTACATATCTTGGCAGTAAGCAGGGCTGCAACCAGGCCAGGATGAGTCGGACTCTGACTCATGGTGCTGAAATCTGGAGAGAGCAAAAATGCTGAAGAAAAATGTGAAACTATGTGTTGGTATTTGCTATTGGCACACATACACCCTCCAGCCCAAGCAGAAGGAAACAGAAAACTGGCAGGCATATTGTGGAACCACTATAGCCACTGCCTACTCATTCTTTTTAGTTCCTCCATCCTCTCCCTGTGTATGCCAATCTCACATGACCCATGCTTAACCAAGAGGGCAATGAGGTCTCAGGCACCAAAATGGCTTAATTACAACACTGGCAGTAAGAGATACTTGCCTTACAATGGCCTTCTCCATCCTTTAGCCCTTATGGTGTTTTGGGCCTCCAGTCCCATCTTCCTCCTTCTGACAGTACAGTCAGTGGTCACATTGTGTGTTATAACACCCAGAGGGGGTTGAGATGAGGAAGGCTTATAAACTACCGCAGGAAAAATAAGGAAATACCCCTTCCTTGGTATCTCATAAATCAACAACAGCTTGTCAAATGGTGTGTTCAGTCATATTGATCAGTGGTTCCCAAAAATGGGTAACCCAGGTGTTCTCGGATTGCAGTTCCCAGAAGCCTTTGCCACTAGCTGTGCTGGCCATGGATTTTGGAAGTTCCAGTCTAAGAACACCTGGATTAATCAAGGTTGGGAACTACTGAATAGATGAAGCATTCCATTCATATGCAAACGTAGTCTGTGACAATGGGCTTTAACAGGTAAATGCAGAAGTAAGCTAGATGAGATAGGGATTTGGATATTTACTGCAAATGTCATTCATACTCGGCTTCCCTGTCATCCTGTAGCTGCAACATACTGTTTTCTATTGACCCTACTCACCACAGACTACCCATCTGCGACTATTACACATGCTAGGGGTGGCTGTCCAGTTTTGCATCTAGCAAAATTGTTGGACAACTCAGTGGCACAGGTCTCTTGGGAGATCAGTTCCCAACTCTGCCTCCTTGACAGGAGCTGAGCTCGATGATCCATAGGTTCCCTTCCAGCTCTGCAATTCAAAGGTTATTATTATTTCTACCCTACACATGGGCTCTGCAAACCAGCATATAGCAAATGATACAGCGGCAGAGTACCCATAAACAGCTAAGAATCCGTCAGGCAAAACAAGGATTTTCTGTTCCTTTCATGATAGGACCCCAATTTCTAGACCTTGGGATTGGTGATTAATATAACTAGGCAAAGGTGAGCGCCACTGAGATGGGGCCCGCTGGGAGGCGGCTTTGCACGGATGGGCGCGCACACCTTCTTCTCCCTGGCACACACTTCCTCGCACGGGCGCTCCTCCACGGTAAACTCGCGAAGTCTTGGCACCCCCACAACACGCGACTCCCGCCCTTCCTTCTCCCTGGCCAGCTGCCACACGCAGGCCAGAGACAGGCAGGCTCTCCCATGCTGCACTGCGGCAGCCCCGTCCACAGACCGCTCCCTCCCCCCGCCCCCCTCCCTGGGCCAGGGCGGGTGCGTCCGTGCCTCGGCATTAGCGCAGCGGTCGCGTTAGCGCCCGGGCCCGTCGTGCCCTGCGGGCGGAGAGGGCGAGACAAGTTGAAGCCGAGGTGAACCTCTAGTCTCGTGCCTCGTCTCCGAGCACGCTGTAGTCACGTGGAGTCACCCCCTGTTCTCACGCGAGGACGCCCACTTGGTTTAAAGCCCTTCCCTTCAGCTCCCTCCTCACGGAAAAAGAAAAAGAAACTTCACACAGGGATCATCAGAGTTTCCTCGTGGAGACACTCTGAGAGCACCGCGCTAATGGCGAGGGGAGTTCGACCTCTCGCCTAGTCCGCCTTACGAGTTTTCTCTTCCCCCCCCCTTTTTTTATTACCCCGCCCGCAAGCAATTCCACTGACTAGGCTAGACCCACCGCGGGACTTGGGGACATGGCTGAGCCCGCCTCCGCCACCCCACCCCCTGCAAACTGCGGAGAAACGAGGGTGCCAGCGGCGAATCCTGCTCGGCTCCTTGAAGCCGCGCAGGCGCATCACGCGCCCTATTCCGAGCTCTCCCGGGGAAGCGGGGGGGGGGGCGTCATGCGACTGTCTAGTCCGAGGCCCAGTCGAGCGGAGTTAATTCGATCTGGAAAAGTCCGCAGGGCGCCCGTGCGGCGTTTCGGGGTCGCCTCTCCCAAGGTTTGACTCTGCAAAGCAGCAGGAGAGGAACCCGCTGCCAAATCACAAACCGGAGCGGGGCTTTCCAGAAAGGCAGAGGATTTCCCCCCCTCTTTTCTTTCTTTTTTGAGAGCAAAGTTAAAACAAAGCCAAAAAACTCCTCCTCCTCCTCCCCCGCCGCCGCCGCCGCCGCCTCGCCTTCTTCCCTTTTATTGAAAAGAAGCCAACCTCGGCAGCTCTGCTGTTCGTCCTGTGCCGAGCGCGGAAGGGGAGAGGCGAGGCGAGAAGATTGTGAACAGCTGAGCGTCGCTGGCCAGCGTTATTCGGTTGAAGGGAGGAGGGGTGAGTGGGGAGAGGAGAGCTTATTAATTAAAGAAACCCCATCCAGAACACAAAAGAACTTTTCTTTTACACTTTTATTTTCCAGCACCCGCTTGTTCCCAAGATGGAGGAGGGCAGCCTTCTTAGGGGAACGATGCAAACATCCACCTGAGGTTCGAGCCCTGGGGTGGGGCTAAGGAGGCGCCAAGCGGTTGTTCGAAGTTTTTTGGGGGAAACTTTCCTGACGAGATGTCCGTTCCTCCTCCCCCCCCCGTCGCAGTGGGCATGCAGAGCAGCGGCGAGCGAACGCCCCGCACCCGTGACATGCGCACTGGAACCGCTGGGTGCTGGAGAGACGCGCCTTGTGCAAGAACGTAACTATTTCCCGCCCTTCACCGGAAAGCAGTTTATCCTGACTGATGAAATGCCCTCGGAGAACCTAGCCATGCACCCTCCCTCCTATCTGCATTTTTGTCTTTTCCCCCCCTCCCCTTCTTTCGCTGATCGACGTAGAATATTCAGGAACTTCTGATACAGGTCAATATCTCACTCCCTAGCCGAGGGCACTCTGCCTACGTATCTGCGTATCTCACAATCACATTTCCCCCGAACTTCTCGGCCTTAGTACTCCGTGCATTTGAAGTAGTACACAAAAGCTGGCAGTATAGTAAATCAGGAGGGGGAGGAGCGGAAACATGCCACGCTAAGTCCCTTGCAGCAAAAAAAAAGAAAGAAAAAAAAGTCTTCTGGCACCTTGTGCTACATTTCTGTGAAACTGGAACCTATTTAAAGCGACCCCAATAAGATTTTCAGTGTGAAATACTTAACCCACCCACCCGGGGAGTTTCCATCGCTCAGCGGGGATTCGAAACCAGGACTCCTGATCCCTAGTCCGTCACTCTGTTCACTACCTTCACTGGGGTAAAAAACAATCTTTGTTTGGCACCGGTATTATTTGGTTGCAGCCCGTTTTCATCATACACAGCTGCTGCGACAGAAGAAGTCGGCTGCTGCGCAAGAACGTTAATGCCAAATAAAACGCGTTCGTTTTTAAAGGGCTGCAAGCTTCTGTCGCTATAATTAATCTGCCAAGTCGAAAGCTGTCACGTGGTCCTTCGCTGTTTCCTTGCACCAGCTTAACAGGGTTTGCCCTCCCCCCCCCCTTCGATCAATCCAGCCGGCTCAGCTTCGCCCCCAAACGGGAGGGAAGCGAGAGAGGACGGCGAGGCAAACTTGCGCCGTGACGTTCTCGCGTCAGACTCGGGGAGTGGCGTGGAGGGTAACCCACGGTATCCGAGCGGATTAGCCTTGAACCAGGCCGCCTCGTTACGAACGCGCGTCATCCGCCTGCTTTTTTGGAAAGACGCACCAGGAGGAAAGGTCCTGCCTGGAACCGATTTCATCTGAAACAAACTGCCACTTTTCTCCCGGTGCGTCCTTAACGATTTATAATCTAAGAGCCGAATTATACACGCGCGTGGCCAGACGTTTGGAGAAGGGGGGGGTTAGTGTCCCTCCCCACACAGCCCATCGTGACGGCAGTGTTCTTCCATCCAGCATTAATGCAGCCGAGGTTTTACTGGACAGACATCCCGGGGTCATCACTGGTCTTCTGCTCTGATGCCCTCAATTGGTATCAGGAGATACATAGGTTTGATAGAACGTAGCGCGCTGTCAAGGGAGAATAACGCCCGGAAGCTGTGCTGCTTTCAAGACCAACTTTGTCAGACTCAGCATCACAGTGACACTCCAGTTCCCTGATGCAAATCAACAACAGGACGTGTCACTCCGGCGCGGAGAGGGGCTTGCCCGATGCATACAATATAAGCAGCCTTGTTATGAATGGAGGCAGAGATGGGGGGGGAGGGGGAGGGAAGAGAAAGCCCGGGACTGGGAATGACCCTCGAAGAGGAGCATTGCAAGCCCTAGGGCGCAGGCCGTTGCTTTCAGGGATGAGCCTCTCTAACAGCCCAAGGAGCGAGCAGGTTGTTCCCAAGAGAATAAAGCTTGGGGAGCCACGGCTTCTGATGGCGGGCAAGCTCTAAAGTTAAAAGAACCTGGCGCTTCAAAATGGACACACTTACTTCAGGTATGGGTTTTGAGCAGCCCTTCAGCCATGTTTCCATGCAGGGCATGGCTTTGTTTCCCGTTTTTGCTCTAGCCAGAATAAGACCACACCTCCAGCCAAAAAGAAGCGAGAAGCCCATCCCTCTTTACTGCGGAGCGCTGTCTGTGTACCTTTCCCAGCAACTGCTCTGCTAAGGAATTTCTGCCACATTTTTAAATGACTCCCTGATACCTATTATCTACCTTATTTTGGGAGCGAAGGAAAACCCCAAGCTTGCTTTAGGACATAGTAAGAAACAAATTATTCTTAGAAAGTTTCATTTTAAAATGATTGCCATTTTTCCAGGGGGTGGTAGAATAAAGGAATCTCTGTAATCTGCATCCCCATACTTCCTCCCTCAAAAGAAAGATCAGGGCTTGTCGGTTGCAGATGTCTTTTAAAAAGCCTCTGCAGCAGGATCAAAGAAAGCTGGCTCATGTGCCCAGACTAGCCGCTTAATGGGTTAGAGTAAAAAAGAAAGGTCACATGGCCACAATAAACCTCTATACAACACATGCCCTCTAGCTATGGTTAACTTTAATTAACTACAATATTACAATTCACTGCAAGCTTGTTTTTCACACATGCCCACTGTCTCTTGACAGTCGTCTTGTCAACAGAAATAAGGTGAAGGGGGAGATTAGAGAGGCAAGTCAAACTGCTTTGAAAAATGCAAATTACAAAAGTTTCTCATGAAACTTGTTCATTTTGGTTGCAGTTTAATTACATAATGCATGAGATGAAGGGCACTTGCTGTGTTTCTAGTGACAGATCAATAACTCACTGCAGTATTTGTAGAACTACTGTTCAGAGCTGTTGCTTTTAATTCAGTCTAATTTTATGCATGTTTACACAGTCACATGCATTCAGTGGGGGTTTATTTTCTAATAAACATGTTTAGCACAATGTCTGAAGTGTCTGTTAGATATTGGTGAAAGAAATCAGTCATCCATATACTGACACACATTTTTAAAACCCTTCTGTTTAAAGTGGGGAAAGGCTACTATTACATTGCGAGTCCCAATTAGAGTAAATCCATTTACTCAGTGGTAATCAATGAAGTGTTGACTTACCATACAGCTGTTGATTCAATGGTCTGCTCTCTAGTTTGACACTAGTTATAGGATACTAGCCAAAATTTGCAAATACATAAAATATAATGGCATTAAAAATGAATCTCAAAACAGGCAAACAGTGACAGAGCAGCTGTTTCTGAAAACCCAGTGTCCATTCTGAAACCAGCAAAGCACTGATTTGCAGAACTGGCTTTATTGTCATTACTATCAAGAATGGAAGCAGAAAGTGTAGCAGTTCTCCCAGTAACCACATCCAAAGGTCAAAAGGGCTTTTTTTTAAAAAAAGCCTCTCAACATCTTTTTTTTCAATGGGCCCAAAATGTAACTACTACAGGCTGGTGGTAACCTATGGCACAATGCACTGGGGCCACCTCTTCATTCATGCTGGGGGGGAGGGGGAAGCACTGATACATCAACAATGTGAGTACTGTTATCTACCTTTTCTCTAGTTTTGTCTCACTTAAAAGGCAAAGTTCAGTCTGAGTTTGTTTGTATTGTGCAGCCAGTCAGAGAGCTGTATGTTTACTCTGCCTGTTGATCTGGTCACCTCACAGGCAGGCATTCCACCATCTCCCAATAAAAATGCAAATGTCATTTTCACAAACTTAATAAAACGAATAATTACATTTGCCCATTGCCAGGAGGAATGCATTTTAATTGACTGCAGTTAATAACCACTCTCCAATAAGGAATGAGGCAATAGTTCAGCTTCTGCATTGCTTATCAACACTCTTTTAAACCAATCACTCTCCCACTCCATTTTCAAGCTGTCAAGTTATGTATAGCTAAAAACGCATGGTACATTCATTTAGCATGTCACCAATCCTTCCTGTGACTAGATCAGTGTTATCTTATCAGTGCCAAGATCCAATAGATGCCTCCTCCTACAACCATGTATATTTGCCTAGACATTATGCTGACTTCCAGGTAACAATTTTAGTTACTGGACACGTGCACTTTTCTATGAAAAAGCTTGGAACTGACCTATGTTCAGCCCTGTGTACATTTTTCCAAAACTCTTACTGAATTCAGTAGTAGTAGCTCTCTCCCAGGTAAATGTGCACATGACTGCACTATTAAGCAGGAATCAAAAGCATACTGACTTGGAGGCTTGTTGTTGCAACCAGTGGGATATATTTCTGAGCACAAATGTTAGGATTTAAACCTGTTACATCCACCCACTCCTGCACATGAAAATGTTTGCTGTGTTAACAGAGTGATATTGTTGCAACTAGGGAGCTGTAAGGGGAAAATGAAAGGCAGGAAGAGTGAATAGAAAAATGCTTAGTCAGCAAATGTTCCTGCAATATTAAAAAGGTGAAAAGCAAGCAAGCACTTCACCAATTCCTGGATAATTTAGATACCATAATCATGTGTTTCCATGGCTTTGCATGTACAAATGTTACAGTTAGAAGAAGGTACAAATCTGTAACAGAAGTGATAGGCGTTCAAAAAGGACCAGTAGCCTTTGGTACAGTGCTGTCCAGACACTGGGCAAATAAAAACATACTCTGGAACTATTAATATCAATTGAATTTATTACAATTTACTAAGCTCCAAGGCACATTACAGTGTTCTGTTAACTACAGAAATGTATAAAGGACAAATAGAGCATATTTTCCATGTACAGCAATTTTGCTCTAGTGTTCAAAAGCCTTCGTGCATCGATAAAGCAAAAATCAAAAAACACATGAAGTTTAAAAATGTTCAGGTCAGTAGAAAGGAACGGAAACATTTTTTTTACAAAGTTGCAACAAAAAACACATCCCTATATCACCCCACCATTTTGCAAAGGAACAAAAAGAAATTAAAAAACAGAAACAAAAAGTGAAAGACTAACACTCTGGGCTTGTAAAAGTAAACTCACCATTTTTGTAGCAAATTGTTTTAGGCATCAACACTGGCCTTGGCGAAAAGAAAAGGGGATTGTTTTTTTGTGTGTTTTTTTAACTTTTTTTTTCCTTTTAGAGAAGTGCATACATTTACAAAAATACACACCAGCAGCAGGTAATCGCTAAGGGCTATTTAACCATGTACCTAGCCAACACACTGCCAAAGAAATGAGAAACAGGTATTATGTGGTAAGCAAACAATATTATATATTCTGTTTTAACAAAAACGAAAAAAAGAACAGCTCTATCCTTCAAATGAAGAAGGGTACATACCTTTGTTTCAAAATATAGAAACATACGACGAAAATAAGGTCTATACATAAGACTAAACTTTTTGCAGTCCTGTCCCGTGTGTTTTGTTTTCCAATATTCACAATTCTACATCTTCAGGCAGCTGAAGGGAGTCGGATTTTGCTGTGTGTTATGTTGTTTTGTTTAAGGGTCTCTCTCCTTTTTCACTTTCACATCCCCGGCTAAAATGGTCGCAATCTCGCCTTGCATAAATGCCCAAGGCACGTTGGAACCGACTAAAGGGCATTTCTCGCCGCTGGGGCAATAGACTTCGCCCGTCGCCCCCTGAGCCTTGATGCTCTCCCGGGAACAAGGGAAGCAGAACTTGTGGCTGGGCACCGAAGGGCACTGCACAAAGTGGGTGTCCTCCAAGCGTTCGTGGCAAATGGTGCAGCACAGGGGTCCGCTATTGGCCATGGGCGAGTCTGGAATGTTTTGGGGGTGCACTTGGTCCATGCCGGGGTGGGCGCTGGGGGGCGGGGGGGCCACTTGCAGGTTCATGTCCCCATTGCGGGAGGCCAGGCGGCGCTGGCCGGGCACCGAGGCAGGCGAGACGGGGCTGCTGCTGTTGCGCCTCGTCGACGTGGTCGAGTGCACGGAGCTGCTGTCCTTGGGCGAGTGGGCATTGCCCAGGGTGTCAGCCACCGACATGAGGGCGGCCATGGGCGACTGCCCGTTCTGCGGGGCCGACTCCGGTGGGGTGGTCCGGTTCGAGTGGGGCCCCAGGGGCGGCGGCGGAGGAGGCGGCGGCACCCCGCCGAAGCCCCCCGCCGACA